AGGTGAACGGCCATGGCGGGCTGGATCCAGGCCCAGCAGCTGCAGGGGGATGCGCTGCGCCAGATGCAGGTGCTGTACGGGCAGCACTTTCCCATCGAGGTCCGCCACTACTTGGCCCAGTGGATCGAGAGCCAGCCCTGGTAGGTGCCCCGGCTGGGCTGCCTTCCCCGGCGGGACCCTGCCGGCCAGGCCCCTCGGCCGCTAGGGCTCCTCCGTGTGGGTGGGTGTGATTCTGGTCCTGTGGGTTCCTTTCTGTGAGGAAGGGGCCCTGTTCCATGTTGGCGGGGAAAGGGGAACAGGGAAATGGGACCCCGGGAAGGGAGAGGGGCTGTTTCTAGACTCTGCTGCCCGTGGCACTGCCAGGAACCAGGCTTGTGGGCGCTGGAGCACTCGTAGTCAGGAGCCTGGGGTCCCACGTCCCGCTGGGTGCCTGGAGGCACCACAGATGGCTTCTCTACCCTGCCCTGCCCCAAGGGATGCCATCGATCCAGAAAATCCCCAGGACCAAGCCCAGGCCACCCAGCTCCTGGAGGGCCTGGTGCAGGAGCTGCAGAAGAAGGCGGAGCACCAGGTGGGGGAAGATGGGTTCTTGCTGAAGATCAAGCTGGGGCACTACGCCACGCAGCTGCAGGTGGGTGTGAGCGCTGGGTCGTCTGCGGGGAGGCCGTGGCCGCCTTCTAGTCCCAGCGTCGGAACCCCTGGGTTTTTCCTGGCCTGGACACTCACTGACTCACCGTGTGACCTTCACCTTATCGGCAACTTTTCTGCGCTTCGATTTCCCCCACCCCCTCTTTCTAAATCAGACCTGTGGGATCCCTTTAACATATTACAAAGCCAGAGGTGGGGTGTCCTGGTCCCCAAGAGAAGGAGGACGGGTGAAACCACCTTCTGGACAGATCAAGCGGAAGGGATGGAGGTGGACTGAGTCAAGATTCCTTTATAGGAGAAAGGAGGAGTGACAGATTCTAGAAATGAGGGCGTGAGGCAAGCAGACATCCCTCTTGGGGCTCTTCTAAAGGTGGGAGAGCTCTTGAAGTGGGGCAGGAGAGGAGCAGAGTTGTCAGATAAAAGAGCCTTGAATTAGGCTTTAGATGTAAGATGTAGCTTCTCCTTCACTTGGGGGGAGGGAGGAGGATAGGGGAGAGAGGAAGTTTTAGTGGGAGCAGGAAAGGGGTGTGGGTAGTAATCATAGTCAAGCATTTATTGGAAATCACTAGTATTTCTTAGAGAACCACTTTTAAATAGAAGCAGCAGGGTGCCAGGGAAATAAAAAGTCCACCCCAGAAGAGGGAGGAAGCCGGGGAAACCTGGGGCAAAGGGGGAAGCAGAATAGGAACCCAGACCTGGAGTATGGCGGAAAGTTTCTTGACCTTGACATTAGGCGCTCTGAGTTTTGAGTCATCTGCTCACTCATTTGCTTCACTCTGTATAAGTACTTAACCTCTCTAAGCATCAGTTTTCTCATCTTTGAAATGGGGATAATCATTTCTGCTATGTCATAGGGTTTCGTTGATATGAAAGTCATAGGGGATGGTCGGTGGGAAGTGCTTTCTGAACTGGGTTTCTAATGCACTGCAAACCAAATGAAGATCTGGGAGGGGAAATCAAGTCAAGGAGAGACCGAGGTGACTGGTGACAGTTCCGGAGACTTCTGGGGGGGGGGGGGGGGGAAGCTGAGGCAAGGACTGGAGGGGAGGAAGGTGTGGGCATGGCACTACGACAGGCATGGTAGACACAGAGGTAGGCCACTGGTCGCTGCTCTTGGATTCTTTCAGAACACGTATGACCGCTGCCCCATGGAGCTGGTCCGCTGCATCCGGCACATTCTGTACAATGAGCAGAGGCTGGTCCGAGAAGCCAACAATGTGAGTGTCCCCTGGGTGTGGGGAGAAGAGTTGGGAAGACTTTTCTCTCTAGACACAACTGTGACTTATAAATACTGGCATGAGAGAACACCAAAGAAATGAGAGGAGACATGAGCAAGTGTGAGGGGCAAGATTATCTGCAGGTGTGGAGTGACCCCCTGGCTTCAGTCCCTTGCTCCACCACTTTCTTGCTGTGTAACTTGAGCAAGTTACTTAACTTCTCTGAGCTTATGTTTCTTCAATTATAAGTAGGGATGGTGATAGTACCTACCTTGCAGGATTATTGTGAGCATTAAATGAGATACTATGTGGGCCAGGGACAGACAAACAGACCAATGAAACAGAAGAGGAAGCCCTAAATACACACACACACACATACACACACACACACACACACAGTTGGAAACTCAGCCTGTGTCAGAAATGGCATTACAAATCACCAGGGAAAAGATTTGTCATTCAATAAATGGGCTAGGGCCAAATAAGAAATATTCTCTGGGACGCTCTGTGAGGAGAAATGGAGCCAAGGTCTGTGTCAGAAAAATGAACACAGTCAAGCTCAGAGAAGTGAGGCCCAGAGAGGCAGAACAGGGACTCATTCCCCAAGTTCTGGAATCATACAGGCATTGAACATCTGCTTGGACAACGGTACAAATGTTATACTATCTGCAATAAAGCGAAATGAATTTCATAAAATGACATCACACAGGTAAAGACCGCCGAATAGTGCCGGGAGCACAGGTCTTATTGATTATCTATTTGTTGTCGTGAACGCTGATTTCAGGAATTTGGCAGTTCATTCAGTAAACGTGTATTGAGGTCCTGCGGTGTGTCTGGCCCTGGGCTAGGCCTGGAGAAACAGATAAAGACCTGGTTGTCACCTGGGAGGAATTCGGGTGATGATCGATTCTCCAGCGGTGAACTGAGGGTTCAGGGAGCACATGTGGGAAAAGTACCCAGCTCAAATCGGGGCAGGCGGGCAGGGGGCATGTCCTGAGGGAGGAGAGGTCTGAACTACAGTGGAGAAAGCAGGAGGGAGGAGGTGGGAGGAGTTTTTAGTCAAAAGTAGCAACAGTATTTGTGAGGGCAGGAAGGCAGGAGCCATCTTATCATATCTGAAGACTTGCAAATAGTCAGTGCAACTGGGGAGAAGGGAGCCAAGTGAGGAGTCCTGATGGGTAAGGCCAGAGAGGAAGCAGAAGCCAGAGGGTCTTCCAGGACAGCGCTTGTGTCCCTTGGCTTGTTGCATCACAGAGCTATCTGTAAACGCACAAATGAATTAGGCTCCAATTAAGAACTACATGTCTGTGATGCAGGTGTTGTCATGGTTGGGGGAAGGGGGCTCGGGATGGGAATCATTCCTTCTAGCCATGAAGGTGTTCTTGGACACCTTTGACCTAGGCTTAAGGGATTTGGTGATGCACAAGACAGACGAGGTCTTAGCACTTAGAAGGCTCACATCCTAGTGCAGTGATGGCGAACCTATGACACGCATGTCAGAGGTGACACGCGAACTCATTTTTTTGGTTGATTTCTCTTTGTTAAATGGCATTTAAATATATAAAATAAATATCAAAAATATAAGTCTTTGTTTTACTATGGTTGCAAATATCAAAAAATTTCTATATGTGACACGGCACCAGAGTTAAGTTAGGGTTTTTCAAAATGCTGACACGCCGAGCTCAAAAGGTTCGCCATCACTGTCCTAGTGCAAGGAGGCAGACAAGAGCGATGGTTGAGTGTCAACCTATGAACCAGGAGGTCACGGTTTGATTGCCCGTCAGGGCACATGCCCAGGGTTGTGGGCTTGATCCCCAGTAGGGGGTGTGCAGGAGGCAGCCAATCAATGATTCGCTCTCATTGTTGATGTTTTCATCTCTCTCTCTCACTTCCTCTCTGAAATCAATAAAAAAAATTTTTTTTAAAGAAAATCAAAGAAAGAGGTAAAACCCAAGAACTAGACACTCTCAGATAAGGGTGGTGCTGTTTTGAATTGGCCCTTCAGAGACGGTCACTCTGAAAAAGTACCAGTTGAAGTGCCAGCCTCAGGAAGATTTGTTCCAGAGTGATGGCACAAAAAGTGCAAAGGCCCTGAGGCAGCAACGTGCTGGGTGTTTAAGGAACAGAAAGTAGCTGTTGTGGGCGCAGAGGCTGGCAGGGACTATCCGCCAGGGCAGTGGAGGCTGTGGGAAGGAGTTTGGAATTTTCTGAGAACAGTTCATTGGAAAGGCCCTGAAGACTTGGTTGAGAAGGAGATCAGACCAGGTCACTTAAATGTATGAATCCACAAAGCCCTTGTTGATGCTTCCCCTGTAACTTCACTGTGGGGTTCTTAGGACACCACCTGTGAGAGGTTTACCTGATTCCCTCTCCCCTCGGTCACAAGTAGGTCTTGAGTGAGGACAAAGACAATGCGTGTTCACCTAGCCCACAAAATACCGACTTCTGCGCATGGGCCACGAAGTTTCAATCGCACTGTACATGCGCTCCCGCACGTGGTATTTTGTGGAAGAGCCACACTCAAGGGGCCAAAGAGCCACATGTGGCTCGCGAGCCGCAGTTTGCCGACCACTGAGCCTCAGTCCCCACTCCGTCCCAGCACCTAGCACAGCCCATGGCATTGGATCAGTGAAAGAATGTGGAATGAGGGGTCATCATCATTAGTAGGAAAACCCAGGTAACTCTTGGGATGTGTTGAGTTCTAGTCTCTTCAAAGAGAATTTAGATGGACCATGTTTGGGATACCCTGGTGGAGTGAGAACTGCAATAGAAGTTTCTGCTATGCTTCATGAAGATTCCATAGTCTGCCAGCTCACACGTTTCTCCTTCTTTGTCCCCTCCACCCCAGTGCTGACAAATGACTTTCCTTCTGGCTCAAATTGCCCTTCCTTTTTACTCTAGATTCAGAGTTTGGGGTCTGTAGTATTGGCATCCCCCAAAGCCCGAGGTTTCTCCCATCCTCACTGCCCAGCTCACTGCGGCCTGCATTTCTGATATGTCCCCAGGGTGCCTCTCCTGTTGGGATGCTGGTTGACGCCATGTCCCAGAAACACCTTCAGATCAACCAGACATTTGAAGAGCTAAGACTGGTCACGCAGGACACCGAGAACGAACTGAAGAAGCTGCAGCAGACTCAGGAGTACTTCATCATCCAGTACCAGGAGAGCCTGAGGATCCAAGGTGAGGCCGCTGCAGCGTGGGCGGTGTATGTCATGAGGATGGCAGTGAGGACCACTTTGTGAGCTCCTGCAGGGATGGGACTAGGTCGTGTCTATTTCCTGGGAACCTTCCCCAAAGCCTGGGAAGAGTAATGGCTCCGGGTGATGGAACCCTTGCTGTGGGCCAGGCTCTGGGCTAAGCCTTTTGCGTGCATGACTCAATTCAACCTTTACAACAAACAGTTCTAGGATGTAGGTAGTTGCATTATCTCTATTTTGCAGATGGTAAAACTGAGGTTCGAAGAGAACAAGTAACTTGGCCTGAGTTGCTTAGAAAATTGCAGGGAGGTGTCATTAAATCACTGTACTTTATTAGCCAATATTGTCTCCCTAATTGTAGGTATTCCGTGAATATCTCAATGAATGAATAAATGACTGAATATGGGCAAAGTGTTCCCCCGTCAGAGGGAGCATTTAGGTTGAGAGTCCCCAGATTGGACCAGGCTGGGGAGAGGTGGAACTCCAGGAACGCCCCTTCTTTAGTCTTCCTTAGAGGAGATGGAACTGGAAGGAGGAGGTGACAGTGGACAATTCTCCTGTCTCCCAGAGCTGTACCACCCCATCCTAGTGAGAACAGGAAGTGTCAAGCTATCTTTTCCTTTGCTCTTCTTTTTCTGGCTTCTTCAGGTAGACCTTTAGGTAATTGATTTTAGACCTTTCTTCTTTTCTAGTATATGTATTCAGAGTCCTGCTAAGCAGTGTTTTAGCTGCCTCTCCTGATTTTGAATAGGCTGTATAGTCACTATCATTCAGTTTGAAGCATTTTCTAATTTCTCTTCTAATTCTTTTGCACATGCATTTAGAAGTATATTGTTTAATGTCCAAATATTTTTTTCTAGATGTCATATCATTATTGATTTCATTTTCATTTCATTATTGAATTTCATTGTTGTCAGAGAACATACTCTGTATGATCTCAATTCTTTTAAATGTATTGAGACTTGTTTTATGGCCCAGCATATGCTCAATCTTGGTGAGTGTATCTGGTGGACTTGAAAAAGATGCATTTTCTATGTGTTTCATTAAAAAGCAGCAAATAATAAATTCCATAATGTTAACAAATATAACAATACTTATTTTAAAATAAATATTTAAATATATGTTATAAAT